GAAAGCAAGCCAGGTACTCCGCCATTACAAGATGGCAAATCTACCCTTCCACGCTCTCGAGACAGAAAATCCAGTTCCTCATCAATTCGAGAGAGCAAACCAGGCACTCCTCCCTTACAAGAAAGAAAACCTAACACATCATTACAAGACAATAAACCTGTTACACCTCCGTTAAAAGACAGGAAATCTATTAATTCCACGTCACGTGACAGAAAATCTAGTACATCATCACAAGAAAGTAAATCAGCTAGAGATAGAAAAGCTAGTATTACGTCATTACATGAAGGCAAGCCTGTTACTCCACCACTAAGAGAGAGAAAATCTAGTTCTTCATCTCTACGAGAAAGCAAACCTGTTACTCCATCACAAGACAAAAAGTCCAGCCCCTCACTACGAGATAAACCTGGTAATCCATCACAGCAAGACAAAAAATCCATTAGTGTAGACAAGAAATCGCAAGATAGGAAGCCTGGTACTCCACCGCTGAAAACGAGGAAATCTAACAGTTCGATGGTAGAAGACAAGAAGGGGAATACTCCTACTGAGTGTATGAATACAGGTTATGCGTCAAAGGAAGACAAAAAATCTGACTCTAGACATACAAAAGACAAAACGCTTCCACAAAATAAGGCACCAAGTACCACGGCAACTAAACATAGAAAGCCTTCGTCTTCGCGTTCTCAAGAAAATGTGTCAGACTCTCAATCAACTAAAGATAAGATGTCAGACACATCAGTAAAACACAGTAAAAAGGCTGATGTTTCACAAACAGACAGCAAAAAGGCTGCTGGGTCGAACAGTCAGTCATCACACACCACTACACCTGTTACTTCTCCAGTTCAAGGAAAGAAATCTACTGCAATGAGTCACGACAAAAAATCTGCTACGCCCCAGAGTAAAAATGAAAAAGCTAGTCCTTCTACACATGGCAAAGATGTTGGTAAGACTGAACCTAAGGCTAGTCATTCGACACAAAATAAGACTAGCACTCTTACAAGACAGAAAAGCAGGTCTAATACATTAATTGACCAAGAGGGCAGACCAGTTACACTTCCAAGGAAAGATACCAAGTCTAGTCAATCAGCTGTTCTCACCCAACAAAACAGTGGAAATAAAAAGAGTAAAACTGCCATGCAAGATGGCAAAGCTATTACTTCGCCCAGAGACAAGAACAGCCCTGTCAACCTTAACAAACAAGAGAATAAATCCAAAACAACCAAGAGACAAGACAGCAGGTCGGATGTCCATAAGATTCCTAATAGCAAATCTTGCACTTTCAAAAGACAAGACAGTAAGCCTGATGTTTCCAAAAATGACAGTAGCAAGCCTTGTACCATTGTAAGACAGAATAGTAAATCTGACAATCTGTCAACCAGTAATAGCAAGCCAGATACACTCTCAAAACAAAATGATGAATATATCCCTGCAAGCAATAATAAGGCACACAAATCACAGCCTCCTCAAGCACACTGCTCAAACATGGAAGAGCCTACTAAAGTCTCAAATCCAGATCATTCCTGTGCAATATCATGTCTGCTTCCCCGAACCTCGTCTCAGAATTCCCTACAAAATCTAAGTACTTGGCAGCAAACGGGTCTAGGTGTCAATGCTGACCATTCCCAAGAGCCGTTAATCACTCCTGTACATCAACAATCACAACTCTCTAAAACATCTGCTCAAAACAAACATCCCTCAGCTTCAGAGCATGATTTAGAACCACCGCTACCTATCCAGCATCAGCCACAAGTATCAACACAACAGAATGCCTTACCGTCAGTCACAGAACCAAACTCCATGTCAACACCAATACAAGAACAACCCAAGTCAGTCCATTCGCCAGTTCCCATTCCAAACTCTGGGCCACTTAAGGTCCAGGCTCGAGTGCTACTCATCCAATCCCAACCTTCATGTTCACCTTGCTTATCCAGCCTTTCCAGCGGAGGCCCAAGCAGGCAGTCTGTGACCAAGACCTACCTTGTTGATAAACCCATGAGCCATCATCACCATCACCCCAAATTGCTGTTCTCATCCCAGATTGGTGATGCTCTGAGTCCTTGCACTCCTAACTCCTGATCAGACAGTCTGAATCCAAATAACGACGACAAAAACTTTTCTAAAAGTGTTACTGGTAGATGTGGCAGTCGGCTTCAGACACTGTACTGCTTTCCAAGACTTTTAAATTTTATTTATAATTTCTTTTGAGTTTACGGAAGTACAAATTATTGTGAAAGTAAAATTGTAAACAAAAGAATAATAGGCCACGCGAAGAAACCATATTAGAAATGATGATGATATACAACTGCTTGTTCCGTAATATGACAGCAAAATGTGTTCAAAAAGCGACCAAAACTTCTAATTTGTAAACAATAGAAGAATTTTTTTGAACAACGACGTTTTTTCACAAAGAAAGTATTTTTCCTTGCTTTAGATAAAAATTATTAGTTTTCAAATCAGACTGAATTTTTCATACTGATGACTTAAAACATTATAACTTTATATATCTCCTAAACAGAATATATAACATCTATGTACATACTATATAATATATATATTATATATATATATATATATATATAATATATATATATATATATATATATATATATATATCTATATATATATATATATATATATATATATATATATATATATATATATATATATATATATATATATATATATATATTATATATATATATATATATATATATATATATATATATATATATATGAATATACATGTACATAATCAAGAATAATTTAATCAGTACATTGCATAGAGCTGCTAATGTGGACTTAGTTACACGTGTTCATTCGAGACAAGCAGTCGAACTGAGCTAAAACAGAATCAGTTAATGCTATATAATGGACCAAGCAGATATCACATATGAACAGACGCATTATATTTCTACGGAGTTTTAAGTAATTTTGATATAAATCACCCATTGTTAAACGCAAGCACAACAGATATAGTAGAGTATGTTTTAACACTTGCTCTGGCCTGTACAAACTTCCATTTTGCCTTAAAGTCATCGTCTTCCCTTCAGACCCCAAGATCTTCATTCTGCACTGCCCGTGCTGCTCTGCACCCGCCACGCCTTATGCTTGTCCCATACCCAGCACCGGCCACCATGCCCCTTCACCTGAGCTATCATTTCCCTTCCTCTTCTTTGCCCCAGATGCCCCAATTTGAGATCCTCACGTTATTTCGGTCTTCAATATGCACTGTGACATCTCACTTTTATTTTTTCCCCCTTCCGCCCCCTCTCCCTTCCCTACGACTTTCACAAGCCTGTGTTCTTGCGTACAACATTGTAGGCACGTGTGGCTGCCCTCTGTAACTTTTGTGATAACAGTAATCATGCTTTATATAGTTTTTTGATCCGAACATACAACGAATGTGATGTGGACTTACTGCGGCGAACTCTGTCTCCGTACGGGTGTTGGGCAATTGTTGCCGCCCACGACTGTCACGTGGGCATGTGTTGTTTCCCACGATGGTCAAGTGGGCGTTCCCGAGATGGCTGTAATGGATGAAGTGATAATAGGGTAGTAAGATCTCTTCAATCATCTTTTTGGACTATTTTTTTTCGTTAAAAGTTTTAATCAGACATATCGAGTCAAGCGCAAGTGTCCGTTCTAAAGGACCTGGAGTTTCTTGGAGAATCTTTGTGATGTGGATGAAAATGCCGTTGTCGCATATTTTGTACTGGACGCTTTGAAGACGGCAAAGGAGATGTCCGTCTCCAGCGCCACATTTGTTTACAGGTTGGCAGTGACCGAGCGAGTCGTCTGTGAATGACACGTGACGAAGACTTGGCCGAAAGTGAGCTCTTTGTTGAGACTGATCATGTGCTTTGTATTCAAATAAGATCAAATACCCAATCCTCTTTTGTCCTGTGAATAGAAATATAGTGCTTTTCTATCACTTTCTAAGAGTTAGATATGTGATCAGCATGCTCTTGCACTTCTCTATGTCCCGTACTTGCTCCATAACTACGGTCATCACTGGAGACCTAAACTTCGTCTTCAGAGATTGTAACTGCCTTCATTGGCCTTATTTTTCACATGGTTTCTCTGTAGGATTTCATCCGAAGTTGAGGAATCCTACGACTTGGAGGGTAGGCTGAAGTACGACATATAACCAGTCCTTATGCGAACCTTGGCTATATGTGCTTACTGTGGTGAACAAACCGCACTGCAATTTCCTTTAAACGTTACTCAACCAAAGGTGCAAAGCTGGTGTTTCATAATGTGATGAAACATCAGGTATTTCTAGGGCCTTAACATCGGTACATTTGTTATGCATCATTGAATGAGATCCTAAACGATGTTTTTCTTCTAATCATTAGTGAAAGATGAAAATATGAAATCAAGAAATTCATAATTCCAAACTTTCGGTCTTGCTTACAAAATGTATCCAAACATCATTGATTCAAAATGAATCTCTTGGATAATAAAGTTGTGTAACGTTTCCCCTCGCTTCCTGCGCCGTGTGATAGATGCTGTTGCAGTTCCTGGCAAAAGGTGGCGCTGGCATCACGTCGGAGATGCCCGGTTGCTTACGTCACCGATCACGGCATCATTGTGCCGTAGAGTTAACGCTAACCCTCGACCCATACATCATTGTGTATATCATTAGAGCGTGATAGAAAAAAATCGTGCTGTTGACATCTGCAGACATCATTCATTTTTCACTTAGGAGTCTCAACTGTGATAGAATTTAGATACAGATTTTTTATTTTTGTAGCACGTTGTATGAGATTAGAAGCATACCCTTTGTGTTTGTCTTAGTGATTTAGCTTTACCACGTTTCTATCCACATATGCTAATGTATTCTAAGAGTAGCGGAAACTAAAGGACATACTTATGCAATCGATAGTCCTCTCTGTCTGCACGACCTGCCTTCTTTCCTCCCTTTGGCTGGAAACATACAGGACGCAGCACAAGATAAAAAAAAATTGACTACGAACCTTTTTAAGTATATTACAGAGCCTACCCCCAAATTTTATACAGCTTTACAGGCCCCCCCCATATTTGCTGCACCTCTTGAAGCTGTTTACGAATGTTTGAATAATAATACTTTTGCGATATGTGGTGAAACTGCAAATGAGCACCGGGTTGTCTGAACTCACTTTGCCTCACTTTGACTTATTGCGTTCATGCAGCGGCACTCCACTTTGCTCTAGCATAGCCTTCGAGATTACATTTTTTAAGGATTTCTCTCCTTTCTTTCTTCAATTTTTGGAATCTCTCTAGCTTGCAAGGATCCCCGATGTAAGATGTTGCCGATAAATCTCTCATTATAAGAAATAAACAATATTATTAGTAATCATTATGGACTTAAGCCAGACGTTTTTAAGCAGGAAGGGTGATAGTTGGTCAATGATTTCGCGAAGTCTTGGAAACGTGTACCTCCAAACCCGATTTGGGATTTGGCGCATGTGACTAAATGTACAGTTATAGGCATTTCGATCCTTACCATGTTAGGCACAACAGCATCACATAGATCCGTAGAGGTGTAGGTTCAGCTTCGCAAATATCACTCGAGTCACTAGACCATGACAAATCGTTCAGAGGCATGTCAATATTTCCCCCCTCAAAAAAAAAGGGTCTTATAGGCCTATGTTAGTCAGCCATGCTACCGTACCCGCTAGATCTACGCTGTAAGGACTGCACCGCTTGAGCTGGAGGAGGAAGAAGAAGACTGAAGTTGTTAATCGCCTTTTCTCTCTATGCCAGACTTATTATAGCAATCGTCCTCTTTATGAGCCAAAAATACGACAACCAATATCCCTCCGCACTCCGTTCATGTGAAAAAAATGTTAATAAAAAAAAGTTGCGATTTTACTTAAGAGGTAGCTTTATTTAGATCCTACTGTGCAAAGAGTAGACATGTGCACTTAGCATTTAACTCTAAGCAAACTTAATCAAGGAAATGCAGAATGTAAACGTTTTTGTCATCTTCAATTAACTTTGCTTGCTCGTTCATTATCGTTTCACAATCCATGAGAAAATATAAAACCCAAACATCAGGCATTATTATTCCTCAGTAAGGTCAAACCTAAAAAAAAATCACCACTCTAACGAAAAAAGTCATTGTCAGCGGTATGCCGTTCTTCACTCAATATTATGGCAAAGTTACAACGAAGAGGAAAACGTTATAGTAATAATTTCACTAAAATTCCAAATACTCATCATAGTATATAAGTCATTCATTTACAGGTAATAATATCTCACCTTCACGGGGTAGTGTTCCAAGGCAATGTATCGATACAGTAATATGAACAGTAAAAATATCATAATTGCGTAGTCTTACTGCAATAGCATTGGTGTTTTACAGATTGTTGATATTTTATTTTGCAGATATATTCTAATGTTTTAAATTATTGGTGACGATATAAACTTACGAGGTACAAAATAGCACACAGACTTCAGACTTACATATTTTGATGTAACTGACATTGTACATCATGCAGTATGAGTCATTTGAGTGTATTTTTTCATTTGTAAATTACTTTCCACTCGAGAAACTTCAAACGATTTCTGTTTCCTTTGTCTCTCTGTGTAATTAGGTGGCCTTTATAATCAGTTAATCCGAATGATATGGTGTTGTTGCCTTAGATATAAAGGATTCCGGGACAGATCAAATGCTTGTGATGGTCGAAATAGAGGTAGCAGTGACTTATAGACATAATTATGCTTAGAATTGTACATGTAAAGATAAAAACAATTGGTCTAGTTTGTATGATTTGACGAGTGAGGAGAAAAAAAACGATGTATTATTGTACAGAAACAAATTCAAAGTAAGCATATCAGCTAACTTGAATGTGCTCAAAATTGACGGCGAAAAGAGAAAGCCAAATACAATAATCAAAGTAGTCTTAAAAAGCCTTATTGTATCATCAGGTGCAACGAAACGTGAACATTCTAAAGTTATTTATTCACATATTGATTTTTTTTTTATTCAGGCATTGTTTGAGACCAATGGATAGCGGATGATATTCTACCAGCTGTGTTTATTATCATTATTATTACTTAGAATGTGCCTTTACACTCCAAGAGGAAAATAAAAGGAAACACCACCTGGTACATTTACCTGAAATACTGTTTATTGAGTGTGCACTGTATTATCTTAAATTTTCGTTTTTACCTTAGTAAATCTGTATTTCGTTTCGAACTAATCTTAAGGAATTGGTGATTGGAACATATCGATTGTATTATGACCACGTATTGGGTTTAGTCTGTTAGGTGGTCGTCACTCAATGGCGGAATTAGAATTTGCATTTTGACTTAGACAGTTGACAATTTCAATTAATTGGTTTGAAGGCATTTTGGTGGGATACATATACCGTTCGTCGAATTGTTGTTGGTGTTTTATTTGCAAAATATGTATTTTTGTCATTGTTGATTACAAAATACTGTGAAACAGGTAAAAAAGTCAGATTGTTATACACCTTCACTGAATCTTAGCATATATGGCACTGCTCTCGCACGCAC